TAAGTAATAGCCTAGTCACTCTATGTTGCTTAAAGTGATTTAAGAACTGATGCTTGAGCCTTCCCACAATGAGATGATTTGACCTCTCGGCGCCGTTGAATTTTGCTTAGCATTGTCTCCCAATGGCCATCTCATCCATGGTGGATTGCAGCTTCGACCTCGCGTTTGTCTTATTAGCACCCTCGGAGGGACTCGATACCGGCTCATGAATGGTGTCACGATGTTACCACTCTACTCCATTAAACGGTTACGAGTATCAATGGGTGCAAGGGTAGATGCGACATTCAAGACAAGCCAGGCCTCTCCAAACTGGCATTTATGGTCTAAGTCTCTGCAAAGAATTAGTTGAAATAGGAGGCTTTACGATTTTCTTTGAGTGATCGCATATTTTTTATTAATAATTGACAAAATTTCTATGTTCATGAAGTCGCTTGGAATACCGTATTGCTAAAGTTTTGATAGACGAACGTCTACTATTAACAAAGTCATTTATACTAACTTCGAAAAAGCATTGGTGTCTTCATTAAAGCTTACTAATATGTAGGCCATTCATCGTATTCTATTATATCGCTGTTTTTATATGATAGTTTTTGCTTTAATAAGGAGCTTTCTTTTCGTTGTTCCCTTATGGAAGGCTTAGATCTAGCTACCATTTTGCTATGAATACATTTATTAGACTTGCTTGCGACCTTCCTCTCTTCTTCCATATTTTGTTCCATTCATTTCGTTTTTGTTTATCTTCTATATACTTTCATGACCATTTCTTCTTACATTTGTCCTTCTAGGACTACTTTGATTATCGTAACTTCAGGTACCTCAGACTAGATGGCACTACTCGATCTGATGATCGTGGCGAGCTCCTGGTCAAGTTCAATGACCGAAGTGAAGAATATTTTATTTTCCTTCTTTCCACTCGAGCCGGCGGACTTGGTCTTAATTTGCAAGCTGCAGATACGGTTATCATTTTTGATTCTGATTGGAATCCCCACCAGGACTTGCAGGCCCAGGACAGAGCTCATCGAATAGGACAGCAGAATGAGGTGAGTATTTTCTAATTAATTAATTCGTGGTGCCAACAGCCAACATCTTAATCCATCAGCTTCTACAACCCTCCCCATAAATTAATTATTTCTCCTTTTCTCTAAATCTTTTATTTATTTAGGCATTTTCAAAAGTATGTGAATCAGGTGTTACTGTTTAAAGCTTAAGATCAATTTTATTTTTATCACCATCTAAAATGAGCATCGAATTAACTAAAAGTTCGTCAGTGAGTGTATAAATTATGTATATCTCGTTCAAGAAACAATGCAACAACGATCACATAAATTGCTTTGACCTTTAGCCTAAATTCCTGGACAAGCAATAACGCAAATCTTGGCCTTCCGAATTTTGTTCGCGCAATTTATCTCTCACTATTGTCCGCCTTCCGAGAAGGTTAATGGATTTGTTAACTGAACGGTTGCCCCTAGCTGTAGCGCAAGTTCCTGTCATGCTAAGAATCTACCAATTTAAACTTTTTGGCTACCAAACATGTCTATGATCTAAACATTTTTTATTACATTAGGGCCCATGCTTGCTCTATCATCCCAAGGATTGACCTTTTTACGGTGGGCAGAGAAGGTCCTACCATATCTAATCAATAATCCAGACTAGGTTCTAGATTGAATTGAAGGAGGCATGCGGCAATGCTGTAACCATTTGGCCATATACTGAGTTTCATTGATGCATTATGGGCAGGTTGACTTTTAGGCCGGAATTTATATCTAACCCCAAAATGTTTTGCACTATTAATTTTAATAATGGCTAAAAATTTCCCGACTTGCTATGCAGAAATTAGTGCCACTTCCCTATACATCTAATTATCATTTTATACGTG